CCTAGTAGCTCAACCAATCCTCCGACAAAGGATTGTGGAGTTGAAACGATTAGATCCCGAGTTGACAAAAATTCGGGATAAATTGGAGAGGAATGAGATTGTTGAGGATTGGTCTTTAAAGAATGAGGAGTTACAGTTTTGGGGAAGATTATGCGTGCCAAACGACGACCAAGTGAGGGAAGAAGTGTTGGGAGAGTGTCACCGATCGAAGTTCTCTATACATCCGGGGAGTACAAAAATGTATAGAGATATGAAACGACAATATTGGTGGAGTGGAATGAAGAAGGATGTAGCAAAGTTCATTTCAAGGTGTGCCGTATGTCAGCAAGTGAAGATTGAGTACCAACGACCTGGAGGATTATTACAGTTTCTGCCTATCCCGGAGTGAAAGTGGGATCATATCACCATGAACTTCGTGTCGGGTTTTCCACGGACTTCAAGAGGGCATAACGCCGTATGGGTTATCGTAGATCGACTCACCAAGTCAGCTCACTTTTTGGGGATGAAGACCACAGACTCGTTAGAGATCTTGAGCAGACTATACATTCGAGAGATTGTTCGATTGCATGGAGTTCCACTTTCTATCGTGTCGGATCGCGATTCTCGTTTTGTGGCTCGTTTTTGGCAAAGTCTACAACAAGCTATGGGGACAGAATTACATTTCAGCACAGCCTTTCACCCTCAAACAGATGGTTAATCCGAGAGAGTGATACAGGTTTTGGAAGACATGTTACGGGCTTGCGCATTGGACTTCAAAGGGAGTTGGATCGATCACTTACCGTTGGTGGAATTTGCGTACAATAACAGTTACCAAGCGAGTATCGAAATGGTGCCGTATGAAGCTTTGTATGGAAGACCATGTAGATCCCCGACATGTTGGTTGGAAGCCGGAGAGAGTAGTATGTTTGGGCCCGAGATTGTACGGGAGACAACGGAGAAGATTCAGCTCATTCGGGAGAGATTACGCACATCACAGAGTCGACAAAAGAGCTATGCGGATAGGAGAAGAAGGCCTTTGGAATTCAAGGAGGGAGATTTTGTATTTCTTAAAGTGTCACCCAAGAAGGGCGTACTTAGATTCGGTAAGAAAGGAAAACTCGCTCCAAGGTACATCGGTCCATTTGAAGTGATCAAGACAATCGGTAAAGTAGCATACCAACTTCGGCTACCAGTATCATTGTCAGGAGTTCATGACGTGTTCCACGTTTCGATGTTGAGGAAATGTCAACCAGATACGTCGCATGTCGTGGATTTGGAGGATATTGAAGTGCAAGATGGAGTCACCTATGAAGAGCAGCCGGTGAAGATTCTTGATATCCAGGAGAAAGTGCTTCGCAACAAGGTAATCCAGCTGGTGAAAGTCCTGTGGCAACATCATGGCGTAGAGGAAGCAACTTGGGAACCGGAGTGGGAGATGCGAGAGAAATATCCAGATTTGTTCGCTACTTGAGGTAAGTTTCGAGGACGAAACTTTCTTTAAGGGGGGTGGATTGTAAGACCCTGTACTAAAAATTAAATAAGAATACTAATATCTTAAGAGTTTTCCAAATATGAATAAAATGAGGATAAAAACTTAGAATCATTGTTGAAATATTAATCATGAAGTTTGAGTTTCGAACGGATTAACTTTTGGGTCAAACTTAATTTTTTTTTTGGATGTGTTTAAGATTGATAAGGGTAACTAAATAAATATATTAATTTTTTTTTTATCAAAATAACATTACCATTGAATTCGGGAGGTCGGAAAACATTGGGAGAGGTAATATGGGATGTATTAGAAGTTAGGAAGTATTTTAGGAAGTAAAACCAAATTGGAGTGAAATTGGGTAAAAAGGGGTGATAGACACTGCTTTGACACTGCTTACTTTTGTAGACATCTAGGGCTATAAAAGTGTATTTCATGAAATATTTCCAATTCGACCTCTAAATGGGTCCAAACTGACCTGAAAGTCGCACCAAAAATCTGTGAACAGTACGAAGGAAACCCGATTTTTTCTGAACAGAAAATATCGGGTTTTGCTCGATTTTCTTGCCCTATAAAAACCTAATGTCGTCCCTTTAGCATTCATTTCACCCCTCCAAACCCTAGGAACCATTTTAGAGGAATAGAGGAAGATAGAAATACCAATCAAGAGGGATTTATACCTTGTAGAAATCAAAACTTCAAATTCTTCAAGAATACATTCTCCTCCCATTTTCTTCCATTCTTGCTACCCTCTCACCCAAATCTTTTGAAACCCTAGGAGGAGAAGATTAAGAGGAAAAGAAAGGAGAGCAAGAAGGTCTTGAAGCTTGGGTCTTAGCTTGGAATCTTGATTTAAGGTAGGGGATTTTCTCTCAATCTCTCACATTGAGGCTAGATATATATATATAGATATATATATGTATATAGATATATGTTTCTTCACTCTCCTTCTCATATATATAATATGAAATACATGATTCTTGTTCTATTTGTAATAAATGCCATGTTTTGAACAATATGAAGGGTGGGTAACCACCAAAGCTCTATTGATTTTTTTTTTATCTTCAAAGCCCTAGTTTTCAAGAAAAGGGGATTTTCTCCTAATTTCTTCTTTGTCTTTGATTTTAAAACTTTAGTGTTGAATATTGTATAACACAATGATATAGATTACGATCTCTTGCATATTTTCTTGGATTATTCGATTATATGACAAATGTGAAAACAAAATTGGGGATTTTACTATATTTGGGAAATTGTTGTGAATTGTGAATATTCTTGATTTCCTCATTGTATGGTTGTTGTGATGGACTTGGATTACCTTCGAGAGATGCCGTAGAGTGTTAGAGGTTAGTCTATCCCAATGGGGGGTGAGATGGTTGCCTAATGCTCGTAGTGGATCGTTGTTGTGCTCGCGATCACTATTGTTCACATATACACCGAGGAAAAGGGTTAGTATACTAGACACCTTGGGAGGATTTCGTCAATGCCGTAGGAGACGGTACACGCCCTTCCTAAAGAGATTTGTGATTGTTGGTTGGAATTGGTGGACTAGGCATGATCGTTAGGTAGATTCACGAGAAGCAATCAACATACATGGTACGGGGATGAACCAAAAATACATGGAATCGGGAGTTGGGTCGTTCTTGCCGATGCATTGGTATGGGACAATGCTTAGGGAGAAGCCCTTCTTAAATAGCTTAAATTAGAATTTTGTTTATCGATGCTAAACTCACTTTATTCTTTTAACTGATTATTGCTATTGTTTAAACTTGAGATCTCTTTTAAAATGTCACTGTTTTCATTCCAAACCTATATATATGTTAGTTGTGAAATGAGACCGACCGTTTGCTATGTTTTTCAAACCTTGTTTGAGTTGAGAGGATTTTGCTACAGAGCTTCGTGCTCACCCCCTACAAATAAAATTTTTTCAGATTTCACACTTGAGGAGGAGTTAGGAGCCGAGGAGCCCACCCATTGGAAGACTCCGCTTGACGGGGATGTGGATCCCGAGGTGGACGCTTAGAGCGACACTTTTATTTTGTTCTAGACTAGATTATGCTTAGAATATCCTTTTGAACTCTAGTTCATTTCTGTTATTTCCGCTGCGTTATATTATTACATTTTGGAGATGTAAATGCCAAGATTAAACCTATTAATTTGGGATGATAGTGTGGATATGACATATGATGAATGCAAGTTTATTTTATGATAGAAAAATGGACCCGGTGTGGTCAATAGTTATGCATATGTGGACCCGGTGTGGTCAATTGTAATATAATTGTACAGGTTGTGTTTTGGGTAGAGCTCCCCGTACAAAGGTGACTCTGTCCAAATTTTGTTAAAATATGAATGGTTGATGAATGAAACTTTCGTCGTGATGAATTTTACTTAATGCTCTCATACGGTAAATGATTTTTAGAATGTAATGTCACCCACGGGGGTTTTGGGGGCGTTACAGAGCATGGCCCAGCCTGACTATGTTGTAATAACTAAGGAGAGAGGAGAAGTTATAGGATATCCACTAGTACATCTAGACTTTGACCAAATGAGGGTATTATGGGAATTACAAAAAAAATTCTTGGTGATGTCAGCATTTTTCGTAACTTTTTATAACGCCCGTCAAGTGGAGGGGGTCTATTTGTTAAATGTTTCAAATGTCAATGGATCTTAGAATAATTTTTGAAATATGAGGGGTGGTCCATGTAATAAAATCAAATGTCAAAAGTCCAATTTTAATTTACCCTATATATTTTTATAATTGCATAATATTCANCTTAGAATAATTTTTGAAATATGAGGGGTGGTCCATGTAATAAAATCAAATGTCAAGAGTCCAATTTTAATTTACCCTATATATTTTTATAATTGCATAATATTCATTGCAAAACATTTTTTCCCCTCAAAAACATCATTGCACTGGACGACTCTTAATGTCAAACAACATCAATAATGTACACTTGCATCTCTATTTTCTCTTATTTTTTCTCGGTTCATTTCAATTTTAAGTTACGTGACTAAAAATATATTATTTTTAGGGTGAATAGTATTTTTGGTCTATAAAATTTATATTTTTTGTCAGTTTAGTCTTTATTGTATTAATTTTGTTAATTTAGTCCCTAGAGTATTTAATTCGCTTCATTTTAGTCTTTAATCAGACAATACGTCGTGTTATTCGACCGAACTAACTACGTGTCATTTTTTTAGACAGTATCACGTGTCTAATATGTGATCATTCCATCAAAAATTAAACAGTATGTTAATTTAGGGACTAGGCATGACTAAACGTGAATTTTTTGCCAATGCTAATTTTGTTATTCAAAATATAGAAGTATTCAAAATGGACTTGAAATACAACGCCATTTTTCTCTGACGAAATAGATAAAAACATTTGAAAGCATAATACAGGAACCACAAGGTTCATGGACCGCAGATTTATACAATATTTTAGTTCGTATGCATCCTTACGATAATAACTAGTTTCAATGTCCCTAGAATATAGATGGTGAGAAAAAAGATCGATGGTTGACATTATTGCTTATCGTCGTCGCCCTCCTGAGCCGCTCTCCCTCTGGCAGTTAAAATACACAGCGGCGACTGGCAAGCCAAGATTGTAAAGCTCAGCAAAGTCCCTTGTGTTAAAATTCTGACGCCACCCAGGAGCATACACTGTCTGCCGACCCAACTGCCGGAACAACACGAATACGAATCGATGGATTCCCATAGATGGCCGCGGAGCCTCATAACAGACAATCTCTTGACCTACACCAACCATTATTGTGTTTTTCATCAGTCCCGTTTGACAAGCAGTCCTTCCTGGCTAGTACAGCAATCAAACAACGAAAGATTTTTAATTCATACCAGAAAGGAAAGTTACTGATGGACTATTCATCAATTTCCCTTCGTGAAGCCACTGGCTTATGACTTAGAATCTCTATCTTATGTCTCACAAGATTTTTATAATATAAATTTACCAGGGACTGAGCTGAAATTCTTGCTTCTAAAAATAATTCGAAGCATACACATTAGACAACGATTTTTGAAACCTAAGTAAGCTAAGCTACCATTTGGAAATATTGTTTTAAGAAATTTGTGAAAGAAAAAGAATTGGGTCAAAAACAAAATATGGTCAATAAGAATTTTAAAAAAAGGTTTAGATACATTTTATTATAAAATAACGCACTTAATATACATACGCACATTATTATACATTCACTGAAAGTGTATATTACTATACATTTTACTAAAGTTAAAATGAGGAAGTAAAAATAGATACCTAAAAGAAATAATATTATAAACATTATCAAGTTGTATCTAGGAATCATATTTGGTTAAAATAACTACTGGTTTGTACAAGGAAGTATAGTAGCAGCACGTCTCCATATTTTTTGCCAAATGCCCCCCCTAATTTTGTAGGTCCCAAATTTAAAAAACGTGCAATAATGCACAAAAATTTATCTGTTGCCGTAGATTTTTGATTTTGTTTTTGATAATTTATAATAAATGATTGTAATAATGAAAAAGGAATACAAAATAATAAAATAAAATTTGTTTGTTAAGATTATATTAAATTAAATAATAAATAAAAATATGATAACAAAATATAGCCTATAACAGCAAAACTACAAGAATAAATCGAAATCGAATAACTGGGAAACCGGAATTAGCTAGCGACATGGAGCATATCCAGGGGCCCCAACGCTCAACTTTGCAGCAGTGCCTGTTGGACATGAATTGCGATGTTCTTGTTAACTACAGTGGTCACATCACATCCAACAATGTTTCTCTAGTTTTCATAGGCTGGCTGCTCAGCTTTTAGGCTGGTTCAATGGTTTATAGGCTAAGATTCTCATATCGAAAGTTAAGATAAGGTTATTAAAAAAACATATACCTTAAAAAAAACTAAAATAAAATAAACTACACCCAACACATTTACGACTTAATAAACATAAAATTGCCACTAAAAAAATTGACAATGGATTTTAAAGAATACATAAATGTCAATATTAAACTTAAAAACAATATTATTTTATCATTAATTCATATTTTTGAGTCACAAACTTATACAATTTTTATTACAACTTTGAGTACATTAAACAATACCCTCCAATAGCATAGCTTTGCCCTGTTTTCTATGGTGAAACTTCCATACCGTCAATGTATATATTCTAAAGAATAATATTTTAAGTAGACATGGAAGCCTAATAATCTAACATAAATGCACATTTTGAGGCTAAACCCAAATCAATCTGGTGGATAATCAATTTTGAAAATTTCTATTGATTAGACATGCTTGGAGACTATTAAAAGAAAGAAAATAATCAAAAAACAAGTTTGATCAGAAAAATAAAGCACCCTCGTAAAAAGCAGTTGCGAAACGACTTATGCGGCCTACCTATTAACATCATGTCACTGTGTGAGTGCTATGCGGTCATTTGTCTGTGAAATCAATGATTTTGATGGCATTTTCTTGGGACATCAGTCACAAGATATAAAGTATGTTATTATTGTACTTTTTTTTATCATAAAAAATAATGGCTAAAGGTTCTGTTAACATAGAAAACAAGTTCGTTATCGCACTACAATTGGGTATTACCAATAAATTTTGATTTGATATGTTTATAACAGTTGATTTTTGAAAAATGATAGAATGAAGTTGCATCATAAAATAATGAAAATATTGTTTAGCACTAATTTATTGATTTAATGCATGGTAATTATTGATTTTTTGGCTGCAATTAATGGTGGGATTGATTATCAATCAACTGGNTTGCATCATAAAATAATGAAAATATTGTTTAGCACTAATTTATTGATTTAATGCATCGTAATTATTGATTTTTTGGCTGCAATTAATGGTGGGATTGATTATCAATCAACTGGTGACAAGTGATTTGATTAGCAAATAAGACAAACAAATTACTTACAAATCACATTACATATAAAAAATATTTTACACTTGTCATGTTTTTAAAGACAAAAAGTAAAAGCATGGTGCCCAAAAATAAATTTTCAACGCCATAGACCCAAAATAATAAACAACAAATAAATAATTAGTAGTGTTCACCTTATCTTACGGAGAAGAAAATATGACATTTTATATTCCTATCCGATATTTTGTGGAATAATTTTTTCTTACCCTACACTATCCCGATCAAGTATAATATTCTTAGTCGACTTTTGTCTAAATTAATCGGGTAGAAAGTTAGGTGAACACATTTTTTATTCATTAATTTTTAGATCATTTTAAATATTCAATTAAGTAAACTGCTCCAATTTAAAAATACAATAAATTAATAACACTAAAACGTAAAACAATTACAATAATAATTACAATAAAATTCAAAATATAAACATTAATCCATCAATAATTGCTGCACAAATACAATAACAACTATTTTAAGTTTAAAACATATAAAACACATAAAAAATTATAAACTATATATATAAATGCAAACAGTGTAGGGTAGGAATACCGAAATTTGGTAGGTATTTCACATTACTACTTGATTTAATTGAAGACAAAAAAATCTTTCGCATTTCTACCTATTTTTTTTGGTTAACCTATCAATAAGGTAGGGTAAAGGGGTAAGGTAAGAAATTATGAGTAATCAAAAATTTGAATACTCCTAAAAATAATTTTGAGTCATTTATGTAATATAACTCAATTTTATAATGAAACTCGAATTTGAAAACACAAACAATAACGTCTAAAGTTTTCTCATCCAAATTATATCTAGGGATTTCTCGCAAAAAACTATTTATCAGTTATGATGTGACCCTCTAAATATTCAATCTTAAACACTAAATTTTGATGGAGCTAGGAAACACAAAGCCAACAACTTTACTCACCGAAAAACATGGTAGCTTAAATTTCTCCAAGAGCAAAAGACAGTGTAAATCATAAAAGTGTAGTACTGAAACCTATGTCCTGTCAAGCATCCATGCGTAAGTCCCGCATTAAATCTGAAAAACAATGCGTAAGGTACAGTCTCCACTACTACTTTACATGTGTTGCTCCCTCTACAACTGACTACTCTTTTGTACCTTTTTTCTTCTTTCCATTTTTATTTTTTTTTGGTGCGATTCTGCTTTTGTGGTTGAAGTGAAAAAAGTTGACTAAATAGGAGAACAAAAGAACAAAACGGTGGTTTTAAAAAGGGGAAATATTGCTATTGAAGATAAACAGGAGGGTCTTAATATTGTGTAGAGTTATTTTTTCAATTTCATATATTCTTTTCTTAATTAATGAGAATATGACACATGTAAAACTCTTTTATTTTGTTATTTTACTTTATTATAATTTTGATGACCAATGACTATCTATAAATTATTTTTTATAATGATACTGAATTTTTTTTTAAGACCGCAACTATATGCTAAACTCTTGTGGCCTCTTTGTTCATGCATTCTCAATCAAAAAAGAAAATGTTAAACAGTAGGGAAAATACCATGTTAAGGTCCATTGAATTTCTTTGCACTTTCTTACTGGAAGAAATATATGGAGAAAACATATATTTACTCACTTATTGTTGCTCTCTATAAGAAACAAATCTATAGTAATATGTATTATTTTTACTAAAATTCTATTAAATCTTTTATCTCAAATGATGTGAAACATTCACGATTGTTAAATAAAAGTAAGACCCATTTCTCCCAGAGTGGTGAGTCTATCCTATCATTTAATGTGAAAGATTTGATATATAAAATTGATAAGGATAATGCTATTAAAAAGTATAATAAATCTATTTGTTAAGCAATTATTATTCTCAGTATGTAACTTCATCGTCGCAGTGGAAAGCTTGCCTAGATTTTATGCTTTTCTGAACTAGAAGAAAATTTGTTTATGCCAAAACCAGGCCCAAATCGATGCCTTTCAATTAATCCTTCAGCAAATAGAATAAATCATAATAACTAGGCCGAAAATAAGTAGCAAATTTCTATTAATTGTTCAAATGCATTAAATTACTTACCAAAGCCTGCCCCCGTGGTTGCTGGAATATCAGTCACCAACCTAAAGTTCATTAAGGGACTAAATATACTTTTAGCCCCTAAAGTATGCATAAAACTTGTTTTTGGTTTCTCAACTAACAGTTACATTAATTATCCCTAAAGTTTTCAATTTGAGTTTAAATGATTCAACTGCTAACTGACAATTACTATGTGAAACAGATATGACGTCCACCTCACATAATGGCTTCCAGGCATATTTAGAGGAGAAGAAAGAAAACCCAATCGGGAATTGACTCAACATTCGAGGGGGATCAAAAACAAACAAACTATAGCTTTGATTTCTGCCAAATTTTAGACAAACCAGGTTCAATCAAAACAATTAAGCAGAGCGCTTTCGTTGTCAATATAATTGAGACAACTTTAGCATTAATTAATTCTAATTTTGTTCCCAAAAACAACTGAAATTGCTGGAAAAGTCTACTTGTCAGGTTAAAAAAGTAATATTTCTATTCTAATTTGGGTCTCTCAAGGCTTGATCAATCAGATAACCTAAATGGGGGGTCTGACAGGTTCAATGGAGAGAAAGAGGCAGAGGTGAGTTTGAAACACGAGGAAGGGATAGGGGGGGTGGGATCATTGTAGGGTAGGAGGCGGGAGGCGGGAGGTGAGTAGTTACAGAAAAAGGAGATGGTGGTTGGTTGAGTCTGAGTTACAAAGTAGGAAACAGAAGAGGAGTTAAGTGTACTTTTAAAAATTATAAAGGGTATCAATTTAGTTTTTCTATTTTTCCCTGACACTAATGATATTGGAACATAATTTAGGGATATAATTTAGTGACTTAATATATCGTGACCGTTGGATTGATAGTGTTAGGAATCACTCATAATTTAACATTGTGACTCACTGACAATTTAGTGGTCACAATCATTAAGTCTCCAAATTATGTCCTAAAATTATATCCCAATAATATTGCTTTTTCCCCAAAGGATACCCATCACATGATGTTCTCGTGGAATTTTAAATTTAGAAGTGTAAATGTCTGTCACTAATAGGATAATTCAAACTCAAATTCAAAATTTTGGTGATAAAATTGTAAAATTGGAAGTTGAGGGACCAAAGCGACATTTGATGCATACTTTAAGGCTAAAAGCATATTTTGCCCTCCAATGAAGAGCACCATGTTAGTTGAAGATAAATTTAAAGTAGCCAAATATAAAGGACAATTAGATAATCTTATGTACAGGAATTACTCAGGTTCTATCACATGAATTTATTAGAAAGCAAGACAAAAACTTAACCCTAGGTTATTTTTTGTGATGACACGCAAGCATAAATGGCGTTGTACGAACGTGTTTTCGGAGTGAAAAGTCTCTCTTATGTGATATTGATATACTAACAATAATCTATGTCTAAAAATACACTTTAATACAAAAAATTAAGAATTGATTGTGTAATATTTTATATTTAAAAAAATATTTTTTTTGAATTATGTAATTTAAAATTAAATAAACAGATAAATAATTATAGAGCAATATGAGAGAGTGAAATATGTAAAAATTAGTGGGTTGTTTGATATTGATGATTATGTTAGTTGAGTTGTCAGACATTAAGAGCCATGAAATAAAAAAAAAATTGGGATGCATTTCATATCATTAGATCAAAATAGATAAAATCTATATCAATCTTAATTATTATTGTGCATTTATAAGATAATAATTCAACTGTAATATATACATTATATATAGCAATATAGGTGACTTTGATGAGCTCTAAAATCCCATCACTATCAAATTTTGATTTGACATTCAATTGTTGGCCCTTTTTGAATAATTTAATTCCAAAAATTTCTCAACTGTTTCAATTTTTTCACCCATCATCTCTTCCTTTTTCGTCTCTCTCTCACATATACTATATACTCTAAACATTTTATTTAATATGTATATATATTATAACTATCGATTTAGAAGAGAAGGTACTTATAAAACTTTCACTCATCAAGTACTAGATTTTTTTTTTCAAATTATTTAATACCATTTGCATTGATACCATGAGATTAAATCGTTCCATGTCTTATATAACTATTCCTATAAAATCATTTTATCTCATCATCCTTAATTTAACACAGTAATGAATAATTTTCAAAAATACTAGGTTCGAAATGAGGGTGGGGGGTGGGGGGAGTTGGGGTGATGGTAGGAGGTGATAAAATTGTGATATAAAAAATTTAAAATACTGTGCATCATAGGAGGAGCCGCTAGTTTTAGATAAATAAAAATGGTTGTTGTCTCCAAAACTTTTGAAAAGCCCGTCAGATCTTAATTTCGGAATAAATCCATAGTGTGAGACACCACCTGAACTACATAGAGAGTACACATACAGTGATCAATGATACTTTCCGGATTTAAAAAAAAAAAAAAAAGAGTACCAAGAATACAAGTGAGCTTTTTGGCACTATTCAGTCTGAAATATCAGTTTCGAAAACAAAGTTCACACCATATGAAATTAGTCTGACCAACTAAAGTAGGGTATGAAAACAATTCGGGACTTTGTTTGTTTGTGTTGAACATAAAGTAACATTGATAAAATTTAAAGAACGAGGATGAAAACCACACAAAACCCATACTTTAGAGATCACTACATATTCTGCTCTATAAAAAAGTAATTTCAGGACCAGAAAAAGGAAAATAAAATGCGCACCAAAGCCAGAAATAAAATGCTTACTTTACCATGATGCATGTAGGGCCATAATATCTCCTAAAACCTTGTACATTCAAAGTCCTTTTGTAGCGACCATTGCTCCATCAGAGACACGTGCAAATTAATCAGTGTAGCTAAAAAACCAGAGAGATCTTTTTCTAGAGACAAAAATCGATTGGCTTCTTCTGCTCCTATATGGAGGTGATCAGACCTTTATTTCCTTACTTTGTATTTTTTTTTTTTTACTTTCGAGTGTAGAGCGACATGTTTTTTACACCTATGGACGCAATAGGGCCCACTGATAGAATTTGATGTCTAACGTGAATATTCAATACAAGGTCCTTTAATAAGTTAAATATTTATGCAAATTTTATTCATTAATTTGTACCTAAATTAGCTGAAAAATATTTTTTTATACCTAGGAACAAGTTTAATTATCAAGAAGTATTTTATGAAATTTGATTGATTGATTTAATTTTCTGTTGTTTTTGTTCGATTGTCACACCAAGTTTCATAAATTTTCGGTAGACATATTTATTTAAATTTTATGGGCTGAATTAATAGCCCTAACCCACTCAAGCTAAAATATTTTGTTTAACAATAAATCTAAATTTTTTGTGAAGTCAAATTTTTATCAATTTTATTTGTACTATTATACACCTAAAAATTATGAAAACAATTTATGAGTCCAAATTTTATTGGCCTTACTTGGGCCCGACCTGACGTTAACAACCCCAAGTAACAAAGATTGACAAAGTTTTTCCAGAAAGAGATAAAGGTCTTCGTCATTACGTGTTTCTTTTTTCTCTTTTCGTGGAAATGGAGTTGTGATGTTGGAGAATGGAAGGAAGAGGGACTGATGTTCATTAAAGCAAGCACTATTATATTAGAGCAAGCAGGCTCATATTCAGAGAGAGAGAGAGAGAGCACCCACCAATGCAAGTATTCCCTGAGAGTTGGGTCACTGGGACTTGGAGCATCAGGATCCACCATGATCTGCACCAATAACAACCATCGAATAAGATCATGAAACGAGGATTAAAGGTTGCGCGTAAAAAGAAGAAGACGACGAGCGCAAAGATGAAGGTGCTGATAATGAGAATAGGACCATTTCTCGAGCTGATAATGAGGGTAGGAGTTGGACTTACTAGAGTGTAGAAGGTCCTAAGGTCATCCCCTCCGATATCAACCCTAGGCGGATTGAGAAGTTGAGAGGGCCTGATTTCACATCCATTGTTAACTTCCCTAATGTTATAGGTCACCCTAAGGGCCATTGACCTGGTAAAGGGATCTAAAACATCCCCTATAACACGACCTACAACAAGAGGATCTCTGTCCCGAGGCATGAAGAGATACTTTTATTCTCTGCTCTGCAACTGCAATTGGACAGATCCAACTTATTTTTTGTGGGCTTTCTGCATGAGTTCGTGAGAGAGTCTGTGGCTATTTATATATTGCTGAGTGGTATCTGTTTGCTTTATTTATTATATATTCATTCCATCTTTCGAATCCACCTTTTTTGTTTTTTCTTAGGTCTGTGGCTTTTTTCTCAAGAAATCAAATTGTGTATTGGGACGTACTACTTCAGCTTTTAAACTGTAAAGCTAATTAAGTGGACCTGCTTCATATTCTTATTGATACATACATATGCAGATGTTGGTCCAGAGCATCCCATCCCATCATTGTACTGCTTTTCTACACCTGCTATCTCTTTCAGTTTTACATTATCACCAAGGAATAACATAACTAAGAAAAAGGTTTTAGTTTTAGCACAAAAATAAATAAGTGAAAATTGGAGTTGAGTTTTTTTTAAGAGACTTATAATAAATTTAGTTCGTCAAAAAAATTTATTTGGGAATAAGTTCGTTTTTAATTTTACTAACGAGTAGTTAAGTCTACTATTTTTTTTAAAACTCTAAACTACCTTTCTAGCAACTTTAAATTAGTTTTATAATTTAGGAATTATTGTCCCTTAATTAACTATCAACGAATATATGCTAATAAATTTTTTACATACATTTGAAATTCAAATTGAAAGAATAATTGATACTTTCTCTCTCTCTCTCTCTCTCTATCGTTCTCTCTCTCTTTATATATATACACACACACACACACACACCATGTTACTATTCATGTTACTATTTTTGTGAGCATATTACTGTTTTTGTTGGATATGTTATTATTTTTTTTAAGCATGTTTCTACTGTTATTTTTTCAAATATTAATACTCAATGTTATTATTTTTTTTGTTTTGTGTTTAAATGTTACAACTTTTATTTTTTGTATTTAACTGGTATTATTTTTTGTATTTCAATGGTACAATTTTTTATGTTTAAATGTTACTAACTTTTTTTTAATGTTACTATACAATGGAGATCAAAATGGACTTAATATTAAATAAGTTTTCTTGATGGACTTATCATCAAATAAGTCCACAAAAAGAGATCGACCTTCAAATTTTCCTATAAATAAATTAAACAATTAAACGTGTTATAGATGATAAGCCGGTACATTCTGACCTTGGGTCACTAAAGTTTGGCCCCCCATAGTTTCTTGATGAAAATAGACCACAATAAAGATTTGGTTAGTCGTGTTTATTTTGCGCAATGATAGATCAACGTTGATATCATAAACTGGGAGATACGAATTCAAGATAGAAAAATATAATAAAATAAAATACAAAGATATACGTATTTCAATCCAATGTACTAATTTAGGTGCACTGTACCTACATGCATAGAACAAACAATTACATCGATTTATTATTGACTAAAAATTTTGTAATTGATTACATGATGCTAAACTCTATTTATAAGGATGAAAACATTGTTATACAAACCTATTCAGATATAACTTGATCTCTATATTTCATATCACATGTCTAATATACCTATTCACGGTATATTATGACACTTTCAATTAGTTTCCTCTTTGATTTGGGATTTCTCACATGTGGTATCCCAAAAAACTCCCCCTCATGTGTGAACCACACTGAATTCAGCTCACTCAGATTTCAATCCACTATTCTCTTGAAGCACAACATTAAATATACTCTTATGAGTTGTCACAATTCTCTTTGTCTTTCAAGAGTTTATGTCTTGGCTAACATCATTTATGTGTCTGTTCTCGTGTTTACTTGCGTTTAGGAGGATTCAATGGTCAATTGCTTCACCAATTTATCAAGGTAAAGCCTAGTGACTCGTAAACATATTTACAAGACACCAAATCAATACTGGGTGGGTGCTGACCCAATATATCCAAAACAATTGCACTACCATGGCTACAACTCAAGCGTCCAAATTCTCGAAATACCATGTTCAAGACCAGTACACTATATAACTTGAAGAACTCAACCAAAAGTATCAGCCATTAAAAAATCTCTGATTGTTTTTTTGATCCAAATACCTTATTAAAAAATTCTAAGATTACATCCTTAATGTATACATGACAAATCAACTTTCACAACATGTCGTACACACGTGGCTAGGTGAGCCATCTACAACATAAACACCAGCTTGATCGTTGGCTTGTCAACAACTTGCTCTGGTACATCTATTTACACCCAGAATATCAAAATTTGAGAATGACACGTGGCAAAGATCCAACAGTCTAGATGAAGTCAGAAAGAGTCCTAATACAACAAGTTGGTTAAGAGAATAGGACTCTATGAATATCGAGAAACGAGGAGTCATGACATCATGAGCTGCCAATTGGGGATGATTTAGTTCATGCTTGAACATATTAGGGGAAGAGGCCATGGTAGTATTCATGGCTGAAAAAGATGGCTTTGACAATTGAAGGCCATTCCTTATACATACTGAAAGAGAGGGTATAGAGAGAGAGATCCCTCGATCAACACAACAAATACACATAGAGCTAGCCTCTCCTTATCTTATTCTCACTTTACCTTATAATTTTTCACTCTAGTGATCTTTCATTGCAATTAATGCCAAGTATAATAGTTTGCGCATTTATAATTGTCATACTTTCTGTTACTTTCAATTCTAGTTTCTTTTCTACATTTTTGTCCATTAAGTTTCTTAGTTGGAAATTATTTAAGTATTTGATCTTCGAGGTAGACAAAAAAGAACCTAGAAGTAGCTTTATGCTTTATTACATTCGTTTGAATAGTCATGATTTTAGAATCTCATGTCGGCTCAAATAGGTAAGGTCGTACATGTATAGATTTAAAGTCCAATAGAACTTTGGCAAGCTTGCAATCCAAAAATACACCAAACATTTTTTGGCATGCCTAGTTGGGAACCAAGGTAACAACATGGTAAACACCCGTGGAAAATCCAAGATTGGCTTAGTAGAAGTGCCACCAGTGCATGAATTGGTTGAAGAAGGCAGGTCTGACATCCCCAACCTACTAGAGGTATTGCCTCCACTTGGGGGGGGGGGGGGTGGAAGAAAATTGAGGGTTTGACTTAGAGCCAAAGGCATTGATGATGGCATTGTCCCAAGAAGTCTCCTAGCAGGTCTTCGGATTCATCAACGACTTGAGAGACTTGATAAAAGAAAAATCTAGCTACACTAGGCAGGCACTAGAGTAGCCGTTTTACAGTCTAAATCAACCAGAGGGTACAAGGCAACTGCCACTTCCCCCTCGTATAAGCAATACTAGTAGAAGCACCATAATCAGTGCTTGCTCTGTACATTTTCACCTCAAAGGATGCAATAGGCCAGGAATGAACCCTAGACAAATAAGAATCCTCTATTCTAGGAGGATTGCACTATATTACTGAGTTTTGGGGGGGGGGGCAAAGGAAACAGTCACCAGTCATTCTTCTTGCATCGTTGCAAGTGTTTATGAGCAGAGACCAACTAGATGAAATTATCCAAGAGCATGTCAGCTCCACCATAACGCTGAGGATGGTTAGTCGATTGTGGAACATATAGGGTGTTTTGCCATACAATGCAATGAGCGGGGGCGAATGAATTATAAAAACTGAGGTTATTTATGAATTTGTTAACTAGAATGCCTTTTAGATGGTACATAGACTTGCTGCNGTGTTTTGCCATACAATGCAATGAGCGGGGGCGAATGAATTATAAAAACTGAGGTTGTTTATGAATTTGTTAACCAGAATGCCTTTTAGATGGTACATAGACTTGCTGCCTAATTTAGTGTTAGATTGGCAATTGATCTGACCTAAATTATGTCATACACCAAAGTATAAGTGGTCAAATTATAATATTTCTTGGTTAAAGTCCGAGGTCAAACCTACAAGGAGCTAACTATTAGGATTCAAAACAGAAATGGTAAAATTATCGTAGATACAATGTGCAATGGAATAGCTTGTGTTGTGAGTTTAGAACTATCAAATATATACTTAATTCAAACTTTGAAAGACAATGATAAAAGGTATGCTTCAGTTTGAGGATCCAATATGCATTATATTGTTTGTTTATGAAAATGCCACCTTACAACAATTAATTCTTATTTTACTGGAAAGTCAACTAGTAGGTTTGTTGTATATGGAACCATAACACAACAAATGACTAGGTTAGTTGGAATGTCTTTGTACCACGCATCAATCAAATAACCCTAGTAAACCAGAAGGGAACCATTCAAAAGGTTTACTCCAGTTATTTAATTGGTAGGTTGATGATTCAATGGTGCCGGTGTTTTAGTTTATGCATTGAATCAAAAGCATTGACTATTGTAAGATTTAACCTGTCTATAACCAATCTCCCGACTGTTACATAAAGCCCAACTATGTACATTATTGTACATGCATGAAGTGCATAATAATTATAGATAGTATGGTACATAGCATTAAACCCTGCTCAGTGTTCGTAACCATGAACATATTATAAATATAATCATCCATCAATTAAGAGAGGTATAAAAATTAAAGCATAAGTAAAATATTGACATTTCCATAACGTAAATAATATTACACATATATTCACCCTTCACCGAAGAATATAAATGGAATAATCACGCCTCATTGCTATAGACAAGCAAAAGGAATGATATAATCTCATTACAACCGAAACAAAATACATAACAAATCCTTCCCTAAGGAATATCTGAAACACTGCCACTCTTATTACCGGCTAGGGCATAAAAGTGGGAGACGTTCAACCCTCTAGGTAGAAAGGATAAATAGAAATGTAGAAGTAGAAGAAAATTCTAGTTGGAAAGTGATCCTGGCAGGGCCTCACTCCTCTTTTTCTTTCTTTTTTTTTCTTCCCTCTTGTCTAGATTGAGCTATATTCGAATCTCTTTGAAAAATGGCTGAAGGAGGGTATTTATAGGCATTGGTAGAAACTTTTAAGGTAGCAAACACCTTGCTGACCAATCACAACCTTTTGTTTCTTATTTTGGACCAATAGG